TATTGTTTAAATGACAACAGAGAATTTAGAAAATTACATAAACTTAGTTGATAAAGCAGTGACAGGTTTTGAGTGTACTGAAGTTCTACTGTGGGTAATGCACTATCAGGCAGCATGGTATGCTACAGAGAAATCGTTCATGAAAAGAAGTCAAAGCAGGCAGGACTTTATACTGATAGTTGTCTTATTTTAAGAAATTACCACCGCCTACCCTGACCTTCACCAGCCAACCACCCTGATCAGTCAGCAGCCATCAACATCAAGGCAATAACCTCCCCAGAGAAAAAGACTATGACTTATTGAGGGCTCAGATGATTATATCTTTAGCAAGAACAGTCTTTTTTAATTCAGTTCTGTACACTGTTTTGTTAGACATAATGCTACGGCCTTCGTAATATTCAACTGTATAGTATAAATATAACTTTTATAAGCATGTAGAAACCTCAGAAATTCTGTGACTCATTTTATTGCGAAATTTATTCCAGTGGGGTGGCACTGAACCTTTGATAATTCTGAGGTATACATGATTCAATGAATAAGATGATAAAAGCAAACAGTCATTTTTGGTAGGGAATATTGATTGCCCCAGTAAGGCTAGGAATAGTAAAGTTAAAAATAGCAAAATTCTGTGCTTGTGATCTTCTCTTAGCTTGTCCTTCAAACCAAGATCGTATCAAATATCATCTTCCATTATGTGTGTATGTGCATATCTATATATATCTACACAGATATATAGATATATATTTTTTTCTGTCATTCACTCTAGCCTTTAAGTATAATAAATCTCTCTCATCTTCACTCTCAAAACAAACAAACCCTTCTTAGGGGACAGTAGATCAAGAGAGATTTTACAGACTGTTGTGTTAAATAGTGAGTGTGACTACAACATGATAGTAAGTTGTGAGAGTAAAGTTCCAGTGACACCAGATGAATAAGCTCTAGAGGTCTGCTGTGACACTGTGCTGATAGTTAACAGCTCTGCATGACAGGCTTGCAGATGTGTTCAGAGGATAGACCTCATGATACGTGTTCTTATCACAATAAAAAGAGAGCTGGAGAATTTTTAGGTGTAAGATAAAAAAGGCACTTGATAGAATGAGGTAAAGTGGGGACAAGAGAGAACTGAAAATCTGGATGTGGGAGAATAGGAGAGTGCTAGAGGCAGTGTACGGAGAGGAACTGGGGGGAGAAAGAGTAAAACATCAAGTACTTACTATGTGTTAATGACTAAGGATTGACTGTCGAGAGGATTTCTGAATTCATTCATTCCTTCAGCAGATATTTCTGTGCGCTGTCCGTGCACTGTGTGAGGCACTAGGAATGTCCAGTGGGGGACACTGCAGGATTCTGGCCCTCACGGGACGTGAAGCCTGATGGTGGGTACTGTGCTGGAGACTCCGTTCCTCTCTCTTGCCTGTCAGCCTCTCCTGCCCCCCAGACTCTCTGCCCCTCGGTGCACTGAGGACTTCATTCTCTGGCTGGTAAATGGCTTCTGTTTGACTTCAGCCATGGGACCCCTCAGAGCAGATTAGAAGGCATGAGAGCCCCCAGAGCAGATTAGAAGGCATGGGAGCCCCCCAGAGCAGATTAGAAAGCATGGGAGCCCCCAGAACAGATTAGAAGGCATGGGAGCCACCCAGAGCAGATTAGAAAGCATGGGAGCCCCCAGAGCAGATTAGAAGGCATGGGAGCCCCCAGAGCAGATTAGAAGGCATGGGACCCCCAGAGCAGATTAGAAGGCATGGGACCCCCTATAGCAGATTAGAAGGCATGGGACCCCCCAGAGCAGATTAGAGGGCATGGGACCCCTCAGAGCAGATTAGAAGGCACGGGACCCCCTATAGCAGATTAGAAGGCATGGGACCTCCCAGAGCAAATTAGAAGGGATGGACCCCCCAGAGCAGATTAGAAGGCATGGGACCCCCTATAGCAGATTAGAAGGCATGGGACCCCCCAGAGCAGATTAGAAGGCATGGGA